CTGCGGAGCCCCTGGCAAGGGCGAGAGGCACACCAGAAGGGCCCTAAGGCCACCCACGGAGAAGTGCGGGACTGCTCCCCGGCCTCCCGCAGGCCGACCCCCACCTCCTGCCCCCTCCTCCAGCAGTGCCGTGATGGGCAGAAGCGCACTTTCTCGCCACGGTGCAAGTACCTCTTAACAACTGGACAGGGTATTTGTATAAACGCACACATAAAAACGTGCATAGATAGGGGTATGGCACCCCTTCTGTTCTTTGTCAAGGGTCAGACAGGGTGAGGAGCTGCAGCCCCTGCCTCACTGCACTATGGCTCTGTCCTCTGCCCTCCCCCAGTACGGGAAAAGCAGCTAAATGTGTGTTCACAGATGTAGACGCAGCCAGAACAAGGTTTCTAGATAACTTACTAAATCTCAAACTTGGGAGTTTCAAGGTATGATCACCCTTCCTCAGGTTCAGGATTACAGCAGCATTCTCACAGCTACACGCTGTGCATGAGGACAGCAAGCCCTTCACTCTCTTTGAATTTCCTCTCATCCAGGCCCCTGCATCTGCTCCTTCTCCCCTGCTTTCCACACACATCCTCCTGCAGTCTCACTTTCCTCGTCCCTGGCCCATTGTGCATTCTTCTCCTGACAAGTAATGTTTCCAGTCTACAGGCAGCTCTTTGGCATGTAGCAGAGAGTACGGAGGTTCACCCAATCACCATATTTATATACTGACATTTTAGATTAGAATGAACAAACATTCTCGGTTTGTGAAGCTCTTTTATTAGAAAACATTATGAAAAAGGTTGTATAACAAATATCCTCTCTGAAGTTGGTCAGAATTTTTCAAGTTGAAACTGAAATCTGGGTTTTTTTCCCCCGAAGAACAGAACAGTTTAATTGAGTCATAGTTTTGTTTTTTTTTTTTATAATCAGAATGTCCATGTTCAGAAGTTCTTGCACGTATCTACATGAAATCCTATGACTGACTTTCATATCCCAAAGGATCAAGATCCTGGTCCAGAAGCATCAGTGATGATTCCCTCAGCTTCTGTAGAAGCTTTCGGAGTTCTTCTTTTGAAAATACCTAAGAATAAAAAAAAGATATAATGAAGTAATATTTATTTGCAATGAATAGCACTGATATAAAAGTAAATGGTGGTTAAATTAGTTACTGAATTTCTCTCTTTTTTGTCTCATAACTACTACAAAGATTACTGGTAAACAGCCAAATTTAATTTTCCTGTTATTACTGGCAGAGATCTTAAGCCAATCCAGGCAAACGCATCACAGTATTTTTCTTAGCTTTGATATTTCTTTTCAGATTTCTAATCCTTGGGAGTTTTTTTGGGGGGAGTGTTGTGGTTTAGCATTGTTTTTGGTTGGTTTGACTTTTTTTTGGGGGGGGGAGGGGGAGGAAGAGTTTCAGTGATAGTTTTTTGAGGTTGCTTTTCAGGCTTTTGGAGGGAGAGAAGGTTAGGTAAAACAAGTGCTCAAAACCAAAACCTGCTTATACAATGTTCTGAAATGTGATGGGAAAAAGAAAAAATTACAATTCTACAATTCAACTTATTTCAATCCAATAGCCCCCATCCAAAAATTAGTAACTGCAGAACTCAGGAGAACTGCTTGTCAAAACATTGGCATAGTCTTCAGCATTTCACAATTAACTCTTTGATTCCTTCAGTCAGCACACAAGGAAACCCGTTACTACTGCACTGAATAGGAAGAGATGAAGAAACTTATGATGTTAAGAAACATATGGCATCTTCCTCTCCATATAGAAGCTTTTCCCACAGTCAACCCACAGAGCTTTTAAATGGAAGCGAAGCTGTCTGTAGCTCTTGGTAACTTACCATATAAAGCTTGTGTCGCTCAGAAGCAACCATGTCAGCCAGTCGTAGGCACTCCTGGTACTGTCCAGTACTATGCAACACTGTGTGCAGTAAAAAGCACATCATTGGCAAACACAGCTTTCGCAACAAAATCATCTGATGTGTTCGTTCAGGGTCATCCTCGGCATCCTTACCATAGCAAAAAAATATATTAGTATTATGAACATCTACCTTTACAATGCAGCTCAGCATAACTACACAATTAATTGCATCAGAGGCAAAAAACTGGACTAACCAGCCTAGACTGGACTGCCAGATCCAATTTACACAGTAACTGAACGGGAAGCAATCTGTGACTAGTCACAGCAACGCCAGAGTGAGTTATAACAGAATAAACACAAGCACATCAAACTAAAGGTGACAAAAGGTACAACTCGGTACAATCCAGTGCTTTGTGGTCTACATCATGCTATAAAAATTAATGTTACCTCTCTAACATCAACCATCCATCCTCCATCAACAAATAGCAACACATTGTACATTTTCTCTTTCACATCAGCTGTAAGAGCATCCAAGAGGCTTTTCCAAATACCATAGTCCATCTGGCAAAGAAAGAAAAAATAAACTACTGCAGAACAGGATAATTTCCAAGGATATTTTAACACAGACTTTTCTCCTAGCATGCAACAGCCAGTGCAGCTCTAATTCAAATTAGAATCTTCAGCCAACTGCCAGAACCTAAAAGCCCGCTGCTAACAGCTATTTGCATCCATGCTTAATTCCCTGTCCAGAGAGTCAGACAGGTTATTCAGAAGCAAAGCCACTAGATGCAGATAATTTTCAACAACTTATTCTGACATGCTTATAAAACGAGTACTCATATAAACTGAATACAGTGTATTCATACTGGCCAGACATGCAAAAATAACTTTTGGCAAAACAAACAGAACTGCAGCATCTTTTAAAGAAGAAAATGCGACAAATACAAGAAAAGAAAAGGGTTAATAGCAAAATCAAGTACAGACTTATTACTACTCTACTGTCTCATACTCCCTCAACATTAAAAAAACAGAGTACTTTAGAATAGAGTCCTTAGTCAATATGAATTAGCAGTCTTCTACGGTTTCATTAAACTAATACTGCCTCCTAAGCAAGAACGTAAATGTTTCTAACAAATAACTTAAACTTTTACCCACCTCATACTTCTTTTCTTTATGTTCATGGGCCACTTTTTCAGTGAAACTTGCTTGTGGTAACAAAGAAGGCTTCTGTGGAGCCGAGTTCATGTGTTTAAACCATTCGTTAAAAGTTTCGTGGGCTTCCTGGATTGCATTGGAAACAGTGTTTGGACATTTTTGACTCATATAATTACAAGAATGTCATTGAATGCACAGCTATAGTGCATCCAGAAATCAGAAGTTAAATCAAATGGATAAAGTTTAAGGTTTAAGCATCACCATTAATTCTAAGTTATAACTTGGAATACATGGTATCTGAAACTCACCAAATATGCCCGAATACATAAATGTTCCCGTATAGCATTGTCATCTTCAGCTGGAAGTGGAGTATCCATTCCCTGTTCTTCCCATTGGTTATATATTTCTGCTATAGAGTCTTGGGGAATCTTCACAAACACATCTTCTGCAGCTTCATGTTTCTTAGATGCTACGAGAATGTGAACTGAGTATCAACAGCTATGCAATTTCCACACTTTATTTTTATAAACTGACAAACCCGTGCTTTTTAATAGACTAGATTCAAAGTTATAGCAACTGTAGTGCCAAGAGCCAATGAGAACAAAACCAACATTTAAAAAGTCTACAATATTTGTGAAGTTTAGTACCCAAGAACTTCCTCATGATTGCATTGCTTTGCTTAAGTGCTTCCGCCCTCTGTGCAGGATCAAATACGAGCCAGTCAATTACATCTATTTTCAGCCGATCCGCCTGTAAAAACCAACATATAGATTGAGTAACATTTCAAGCATACAGCTGATGTTAGACACACTAAATGTGGTCAGTGAAATACACAAGTTTCTAGAGATCTATGGATAGCATTATGACATACTAACAAGGATTGCTTTATTCACAACTTCAGTATCAAAAGCTTAGAAAACAATCTCTGCAATCTAAAATAATCCAAAAATACATTTCTAAGTATTCCCAGGATGTTCAGACCAATAGATGAGCATCAGCTCTCAAAAATTTTCATAAATTACCATGCATCTTCCTCAAACTTTAATATGAATACACTGTACAAACGTGGTTTATGGAGCCCTTGCTACAAGCTTCAGGGGTGCCATCAGCCTGCAACCACAGTTTTCCAGCTCTTGCATTGTATAAACTACCTATTTGGCTTCAAGAGTTTAAACTTTGTACTGAACAACAAAAAAATTGCCATAAGGTTGCAAACTATCCATTGCTTTTTAAACAGTACTCTGAATGCAAGCTATTAATTGTACCTCACTGTCACTAAAGTACCAAGTTGGATCCAGCCGACACTCAATAGTGACAACAAGAAAACTGTCACTGAAGGCAATGTCTGTCATAGCTAGAATATGTCACTTGAGCATGTAATAAGGTGCATCTGAAATCCAAAGTATTAATCCTTGTAATTCTGAGAGGCTACAATAACATCTGATTCTCAGCTACAACATGTTTTGTTATAGTCATTTCATGGGTTTTATCTTCACTTATTGTTTGCATCCAGACATGCTGCTGAGCAACATACACCACAGCCCAGAAGATCAAGGAGATGTAGACACAGAAGTTACGAATTCGTGCAATTCAACTCCTCACACTTGGTCACATGGAAAGGGCATTTCCCTCACAGGCTTTTTCAAGGCAATTTCCAACATCGTTGAAAGAGAAATACGGATCATATATGGTAAAAGACTCTGTAGTTGACTGCAAACTGGAATATCTGCCCTACAAAGTACACTCACCTCCGTTGTGCCTGTATCTAACATATGGTCATGGTGACTGAATTCACCAGCATCCTTCTTGCGGATGTTTTCAACGACAGTTTTTGTTATGGTTGCAACATCCAGACCTGGGTTAAGAGGGAACTATGTAAGAGCAATCATGAATTCAAACTTGCCACAAAATGAATTTCAGGCTCCAGTTGTTGATCTTATTCCTTACTACTAGTAATGCTTATCAGTCTGTTCACACTCACATTATTGGAGTGAATTATAAGCTTTTGAGATACATAATTTATTGCAGGTATTTTAGAAGAATAATATTTGAGATAACAGAGAACATCAAACATGGGAAAAAGAGTAAGACAACTAACAAGTTTTTTAGTCTGTGCTGGGGACCAGCATAAAGATATATTTGCTAAGACCACTGATTCCTACAGTTCTGATGGCAAGACTATGATTTGACAGGATGTACCAGGAAAAGCTCAGAATAGTTCTTTTACAGATGCTGAAGCAGGATGTTTCATTTTTGAAACCTCAGCCAAGTTTTTAAAAGAAAATTACTAAAAATGATTGAAGAAAAGTTAGACACTGAAGTCTGCAGTAAATCTATTTCTTTGTGAATTTACAGTGTCACAGTGTCAAACAACAGACAGTGTGCTGCTTCACTGTAGTCTCTTTTAGTTTGATGTATAGGCTTGGAAGGAATCTTACAATTAATGCAAACAACCCTCCATGGCTAAGAAAGAGCACTATAAATAGGACAAAAAATTAAGATACTCATAACCTTCCTAAATCCACAAACAGGTTTGTATTTTTATAATTAGTTTTCTGCAATAGTGTGATTATGGCAAGCATCACAGCATAGATTTGAGACAGGCAGCTGGCATTTACTTCCTGCTGTGTTTGGTCATAATCCAGAAGCAAATCTGGTATTTAGTTTAATTGAGAAAAAGAACTGCAATTCCAGGTTGGTTAAAAACCACCATATACCTACTTGAAGAAGTGATCAGCAAATTTATTTTATTTAATTGAAAAATAAGGAAAAAAAATCATCTTCATAGCTAGGTCTTGCATTAAAAATTACTGAAAGACAAAATAGCCCAGGATATAATATGATTATTTCAATATCAGCATATCTCACCTGCATCTTTTGCTAATTCAAGGCAGTGGTGGCGTTGATCACTTTCAGTAACATCTTCGAGAAATGAAGCATACTGAGCAACAGCTAGCTCTGGGGGCAAGTGGCTAACATAAAATGCTATTAAATCTGTGTGCTTCTCAGATATCATCCGCTGTAGAATAAGAAGCAAATAGTTAGAAAAACACACTCTATTCTTCTGTAAAAACATGTTTTATGTAAGAACATAAATGTGTAAAAATTTCTGATTATTTTGTTCTGATATTGGAAGATTCCACTTCTCAGCTTCTAAAAAAGGATCAATAAAACTGTCCCTCTTAAGCACTGCTGACAGAAACTCTGCATATTTGGCAAGCTTCCACATATCTCTTGAGAAGAGAGCATTAACTGCATCATAGCTCTTTCCATCCTGTAACCTTAAGTCACTTTTTCTTCCTCCTTTATGTCTAAATTACATCAGACAAAGCAAGCTATAGTTTTGAAAGCTTACCTGAATGTAGGTCTTTAGGACTTCAACAGAAACTTCCTCCTTATTGAAAACAAATATAAATTAAATTTTAACTCAGATAATGTGGGGAAAAAAAAAAAAGAAGATACTTTACAGGCTGTCACTATTACACAGATAGAAGGTTATTTGCTTATCTATGCTTCGGTAATCTACACATTCAAACAGGCTCAGCTGGAAGAACTGTTTCTCTTGGAAACTGATTTAAAAAGTTTTCTGCTTCAAAGATTTAGTGTTCCAAGGGTTTTCTTTTCCAGCAACTGTATAATATAGTTTTTGGTCTAACTGGAAAGTTACTTTGTAAGTTGTTTTCCTTGCAGTGTGCTAAATGCATTGTTTTATTACAGAAAATTCTAATGTTCCTATGTATAGGGTATAAATACCACCTGGCTCATCTGTAATAGCCTAAAGTAAACAACCAAAGTACAGACCAAGCACCTGAGACTGCTTTAGCTAAGACTCGAGTGTTTGTTACGGTGAAGAGCTCTCATTGTCATTTTGTGTAAATATGTATAAATGGAATTGGAGAAGTTCATCTAAGCATGTATCTATCTGAATTGTACTCAAACGTCAAATAAGGAACATCATAAAATCTTGCACAACTGCCTCTTCCCTCTCAGGTCTACTGAGGGTTGATTGAGTAATCTTCCAGTAAAATCACCTACTCCAAGTAGAGTAGAGTACCGTAGAAGTACTGTACAAGTACTGTAGAGGCAGTAATCAACTGTTACTCACAATCCCCCACTGGAATTTATGCAGGAAATTGCACCTTTTCTGTCCCCTCTGTTAAACATATGCTAATGACTGGTTCTACTGTACTTTAAAGACCTACTCTATAAAATTTTGACTCTGGCTAAAAAATGTGTAGGTATATACACACACAAGTTCCTCTTAATTAGCTAAATGTTAACTGACTTCAAAATAAATTTCAAAGAGGGAACGCAGCAATGATTGGAGGTATGAAAAAGCGTAATAACTCAGAGCTGTATTTAAAGCATCTAATGAAAACACACATTTGTCTTTTGCCAAAATAGGTTACTTGCAGAAACTTATTTGATATGTAAGTGGTTCTAAATTTTAAAATAGTAGAAAAGGAGAGCTTCTAATTACTTGTGATTGCCTCAGAAAAGAGTAATTACAGCTATGTGACCCATCTGCATATTTGGCATAAATAGCCTAGGTGTCTAGTAGACTATACTTAATATATATTTTGAGAAAATACAAAAGTTTAATCTAGCATCAATTACCTCAAGCAAAAACATTTATGAGCTTACAGCAATAGGTACAATTCCAAGGACTGGAAGATAATATCAGGTTATATTCAAAGAATCTTGGCTTCTATGAATAAGTCTAACATTGAAGTTTGAGTCAGGTCCTTCTCAATAAAAGGCTTATAAGCAGAATCTATCATCCTCAAAAAATAATTTTCAACCTGAACTGGAGGGGAAGAGGATGCTCTTTTCTAATTTTGAGTGTTATATTTAGGCTCCAAGATCAACAAATACACTATATAAACATGCAGGTCCTCATCAGCCTGGTACTTATTTACCATCATTGTATGTAGTCTATATATTTGCACACAATAATTTCTACTTCAAAGACTAGCTACTGCTATGACAACAAATCAAATACAAGTGAATTTACCTTAGTCTGCAGACCCAAAGTACGGAAAAACAGAATAAGATGCGTCATGAAACGAAGGAGGTGTCCTGGGAGCACACCTCTGTCTTTGGAAAGCCATCTGCTGAATTCTTCCATCAAACCTATAGCCACCAAGGAAATGTTGATATTAGCCATATCACAGGGAAAAAACACCTAGGAAATATTTCAAAATTATGCATGTGTTCAACAAACATATTTTAGCCTCAAAAGCCCAACAAAACAGAACAGCAACAGTTTTGGAAAGATTTAGCTGCTTGGCTTAAATATCTACATATTTTGTAATTTCTTAGAAAAAGTTATAGCAATAGACTCACATACATTTTGACACATTTACATGATTTAATGACTTCTTTGAAAACTACCTCGTATGTCAAACTGCAGAAGGTCCCTACAGTTCTCGATTAAAGACGCAACTTTGCTTTTAGGTGGAGTTTGCCTACTGTGTGCTTCTAAAATCCATTCACATATAAGTTTCTGGAAAGGTCACTAGAAATAAGGTAGTCAGTTGACATTTAAAAATCACTTAGAGAAAAGCTCACCATCCACATCTCCCAGTATAATGAATTTCTGAATCACATGATAGTGTTCTTGATTCTCCTCTATAACCCTCTGGGGAAGGAAAAAGAGAGTTCAAACTTTGAATAAAATCTTATAGCATAATGTATAAAGAAAGCAAACTTATAAATAAAGCAAAGGGTCCTTAGGGAAGAAAGCCTTCCTGTTTCAAAGAGCAGGAGAAAAGCCACTTGCTATCTCAATGTCAAATTACAAGAATATTGACAAACTAAAAGAAAGAACCACAATATAGATCTGTGGAGGTAATACTTTCATGGAAGAGATCCAAGAATAAAGGCTTTTTGCTCTGAAGAGGAGAATAAGTAATGATGTTACAGAGAATAGATTGACAAAGTCACAGAAGAAGCAACAATGTGTATAGATTCTTAAAGAAAACGCATGTGAAACTTACTTGAGGAAGAAGAGGGGTTTTTTTTTGGTAGAGGAATTAATGCACTATATACAATTCAAATGCACCTGTAAAGTTGCTACATGGTAAGGATCGCACTAGAAAAGCAAAGGCAGCTGGGTGTGTCTGTGGCTGACTGCATCAATCTGTAAGCTGTCTTTCAGTGTGTCTTTGTCTTAGCAATACCATAAATGCTGTAAGTCTATTCCATCAAATAAAGTGTAGTTTCAGTTTACAAAATTAACATATACATTCCACCTTAAATGAAATAACTAACCTGTGTGTTAAAAGTAACAAAGAAACACAGTCTGTTTAAGGAAATATGCTTTTAAATTTTGAAAGGCCCGTTTCGAAATTTTGCACACAAACCTCCTACAAAGAAAAATGAAAGCTCCTAAAAGAAAACAGCATGTAATCAATCATTGCACATTTTATCAAAGTGTTAAATAGGTGATTTACTCTGCTTTGTATGTCTGGAAACACTTGACAGTCAGCTATTTCTTCAAGCACACCCAGCTAGTTTGGCAGACATGGGGCAAGATAAAACCTGTATCTTTTTCAATATTTTAAACGTGGCAGCATATAGAAAAAAAATCTATTTGAATTGAGAAATTACACATTACAGAGGTAGAAAACCTATAATAAATCAGTCAACTCTGCATATTTGAGCATTCATTAAATAGTGTAGCAAAAGTAAAACCTAGTGAATAGTTAAAAACGGTAAACGGTGAGGAGAAACACTGTAACTAATATGTACCTTTTTGTCTGTTGCCTGAAGTTCTTCAAAAACTTTTTCTGAAGTCCAGCTTCAAAGGAGAGAGAAAAGGCAAAAAATGTTACCTTGAACATTCCAAACAGATCATATACAGGATCCTTTGTTGACTATAGGAGAGTAACTGTACTTAAAACTTACTTTGTTTCTAAATAATCTCTAGGGAGCTCTTCCATCTCCTCTGTGGTTATTACTGAAGTTCGTATTTCCTGCTCAACAAGAGTGTCCACCATGACCCTGAAATATGCCCAAACAGTATCTTCCCAGGTATCACAAACTGGAAGAAGCTGCATATTAAAAAAAAAAAAAACCCCAGCAAAAATTATCCAGAGATGGAGACCTATCAGAATCTGAACAGAGCAACCATAATTTAGGATCAGACTTCCTGGCACCAAAGCAGACTAATAACCGACCATCTTGAAAAGCAGCCTTTCCTTCATCAAAGCAGGTCACAAAAAAGTCCCTTCACTGAATAATGCTCTAGTACCTTGATTATTTTATATCAAAGGGAGTCAACAGAAGCCTTCCTATCCTCCTTCCAGAGGCAGCACCACTCTGACACCATTCCCCTTCTTGTGTACCACCTCAGAAAACTAATCCAGATGAAGACTATCCACTTTTCTGCCTGATCATTTCTCAGCAGGATCACTTTGCCTTACAGGTCTATGTCATGGTTGCACAAGTCAAGGTGCAGCAGTGAGCAGTGAAGGGCAGAAGGAAGGGAGTACTGCTGCTGTGGTGACATAAGGAATTTTATATCCAGTTCTTATCTGAATCTTCGTAGGCTCTTTCAGCAGTGAAACCCTAGGACAAGTTCCAGAGAAAGCACTGGATTTCGTGAAACACTTCTCTCTTACAGTAATTTTAAAATTACTGAATTTTACTAGAATTACTTAAATTTAACTTCAATAAATGTCTCTCTGCTCTGTCACAATAAAGTACTTATCTTCTGTTCTATAAGTCTGTAATTTTACAATACCTTTTCTTCCTGTAAAAGAACAGATTTCAAAATTAAATTAAAACCTGAAAACATTCCCTATTCCCCTCTTTTTATTTTCTGAATTATCTTTATTTCTACTACATCATGCCAAAATGAGGGGGAGGGGACAGGAAATCAAACTCCTCAAGTAGGAGCTTACCACTGATTACTATAACAGCAAGGAAACTTTTATGATAGTCTGCAATGTTCTTCATTGTTCTTAAAAATAAAAAAGAATTTAAAATCAATAGTTAGGTGGAGGAGAGCACAAAAACTTCTGGAGGATTAAAACTAATAAAAAGAGCGAACTACTTAAAGATAAAGGTGAGCATCGTCCACAGTAGAAAACTATTGATAATGAAATTCGGGTACAGAATAACCTTTGGATAGACCAACTTGTCTATAAGAATACTGTGTAGGAGCAGGAAAGTGACTATATAAGCTCTCAAATAATAATAAACTAGAAAAGAACTAAACCAACAACATTACAACAGTTTGTACTTTTTACTACTAAGAAATGTCTATCATATATTTAATTAAGGCACAGCAGTCCTACAAAGAACGTGTCTACTAAAGCAGCAATGTTTGCTATTGTCCTGTTCACTAGATCTTTAAAAAGTCAATAACCAGTAATTGCAGTATTTCTGAAGGTATCACTGTCACATATGAGAAAGAAAACTTGCAACTACCAAACACCACTTAGCTAGGAGGCTTGACATACCTGTTTGAGGTTTCCACTCAGTGCTGCATAGATTGCTCTCTCATATCTATTAAACTGCTCCTAAAAGAAACAGTAAAAACGATAACTTTTAATTACAAAGCATATAAGTTTTCTAGTCACTTTACATTTTATTAGAGATTAATCCATTACAAAATGTTCCATCTAATGGTTTCCAAGAAAAACTGGGAAATCACAGGACACATCAGGAGCCAAAATAAGAATAACAAGTGACTCCTCCTTCACTGGTACCCCCTTGTAACTTATCTGAAAAATTTATATTGACCTGCAAAGAAAGCAACATTTTTCCTTTCCCATTCAATTCCATCAAGACGAAAGTCAAAGTGTCAGCAGTTTTACTTTCAACGAAATTTTAAAAAGTTAGACATTTCCTAAGTTTGAAAAATTGATGCTGATTACGTAGATTTCTCACTACAAGACATAAACACGTTATTTCAGAATTCCTCTTAGAAGCATTAATTGCAAATCCTATAAGCAGCAAACACAGAGGGGGTAGGTTTACTTAAAATCATATTACAGAGTTCAGAAAAGTTCAAATTTATATATTAATAGAAAGCAAATCAGCATTATCTTACCTCTTCGGCCATACGCCAACAACTTATTTTCCAAATACACCTGTATGGATTCCCTTGAACAGGCTCCAACTCTTTTCCTACATGCAAAGGATAATTAAAAAAAAAAAAAAGGTAAAAAAACCAGAAAAAAACATAAAAAGGTGCTCTTAAAAAAAGAGAAACCAGTAACAAGGTAAAGCCTGTTTTCTGTTATTAACCCAATTTCAATCTGTTTGGAACTCTTCCCAAAGCATTTTGATGCTTTCAACTGGACTGCAAGGTGGCTGCTTTTCTGGGAAGTTTGGTAAATTTTGAAAGCTTAGTTGCTATCTAGCTTTGAAGAAAATAATGTTTTTGACTATAACATATCTACAATGTTTACATTTGGAAAACAAAAAGTTAAGGAGAAAAGGAATATTTCTTTCTTAAAGGACTACAAACTTCTAAAAAACGTCACTGCTTCAGTGCTGCTGTTCTGCATGCATCTGCACGAGGGCATGCATCATGGAATTAAAACCCACGTAACAGCAGGCTAGGTAAGTACTCTCAAAACAAGGCTAGGACACTGGTGAAGCATCCACATAAAAGTAATGGGCTATTACAATTTGAAAAGTAGGAAAGCATTATGGCTTCCAGACTTGGCTATGCACAGCACTTAGACACATTCTTAAATTCTTTGCTAAATCCTGCAACATCCTGAGTATAAAAAGAAGCAAGGTACTGTGTTGTAAATAGGACCATGTGCAGGGGACTCCAGAACCAAGGAGAAAGGTAATTTAACAATTTTCAATTATTTTAAAAGCATATCCTTTTCTTGCATTTACATCTGCTGAAATCTAGTACTCTATACCTTTCTGAAGCTGGATATAGAGTCCAACATTGAGTCGGTAACAAACAAAATGTTTGCTAGGTGGCACAAGTCAGATGTTGAGAAAATACAGACTGAAATGTTATATGGAGGTGGAGAAGATCTGTCCAGAATTCTGAGACATCTATTTCCTAGTGATTACACTTGATTTTCAAAAAGAAAATAACTTTTAAGTGGATTCAGTGAACTCATATCCTCAACTAAAACCATTTCACAATAGTTTTTACACGTTCAACAGACATGGCAAAATACAAAAAAGGCTCTCAAGGTGAAAAGGAAGAGCTACTTCTCTTTGCCACAGAGTGATACTAAGAGAAAGCCCTCTGCCCTATTTTTACATGTCTCAAATGGACTTTGAAGTAGATACCTCCATTTATGTTAGGATCATGATATAATTTCCATCCTTCCAAAGTTGCAGCTCTCCAGGCCTGACCACATCTTTTGCATAAGCGCTGTGCCTGAAAAATAATGGACTTTCTCAGCAACAGACTTCAAGGTAGGAAAACAACCAGCTTCGCCTTTAAAAATCTGAACATTATTAAAATCCTTAATTTGTATAGATATGCTACTAAGCAAAAAATAAGCATAAAGTCAGAACAACTGAAATATTTCAAAGTAAATCAAAATGTCAGTGTTTTTTTCAGTTAACATGTTAGTTTTTCAGCCAGTATTTATAGCAATGTGAGAAATATGCTACAGTCTTATCTTTGCTAGCTTAAACAGTTGTTACACATCCTTCCGAATGTCTAGTTTAAGGTGTCATATTGTTGCTTGGATGTATAATCAATCAATCTCCTCACACAGTTATCTACTTTTCCAGTTGTCTTAGCTTTCCAAACCCCTCATGCACTTCTAAAAATAGTAATCCCATCTTTCCCATAATGATATTCAGTAGTCTATGCACTAGTACAAACAGGTTTAATTCAAAGTTATTTTGAATAGGAGATGGAAAGTAGAACAGAAACTGTACAAAAAAGCTTTCCTACAATTCTTCCAATCCTACACCCCTGCAAAAAAAAAAAAAGAGTCAGCTAAAGAGTATCTAATTAGTCTGACTGGTACTGTTCCAGGACTGACAAAACAGTATCAACAGTGATAAAAACTGCAATATGCAGTCTTGATTGTTTAGCCAAATTCTTCTCACGCTGGAGAGCTGCAGACGTTCAGCCATTTCGGGAATGGTCACAAACAGTAAATTTAAATAACAGACAGGTAAGTTGTTCTAGCTTACCTGCTGTGTATTACCTATTGTACAGCAAATGAACAGAGGTTCTTTCTTAATCAGAGTAAACTCAAAGTATTTTAGCTTACTCTTTCAGCAGGGAATAACCCACTTCAGGCTTATCAAACAGTAGGGATATCGTAGCAGCAACTGCAGAACAACCGATACCACAGATTTATATTCATACTGCCCTGCAGCAACATGCTCATGTGCCCATACTATCAGAAAATGAACAGATGTGCACCATATTGGAACAGAATACTAGCAAGTAACCATACTTCTAAGTCTTAAGGTCTTGGGCACAAGAATCTCAAGTCCCTTTTTTTTATTTCCCCTGATTACTCAAATGTCATTGTATATACATAGAACTTAGTATAAGGGAATCAGTTTCCAGTTGAGGCCTTGTCCTGGTTTCGGTTTAGGCTGGAATAGAGTTAATTTTCTTCCCAGTAGCCAGTACAGTGCTGTGTTTTGGATTTAATACGAAAATAATGTTGTAACACACTGATGTTTTAGCTGCTGCTAAGTAGTGTTTATGGTAACTCAAGGACTTTTCAGCTTCCCACGCTATGCCAGCGAGGAACTCCACAAGAAGCTGGGAGGGAGCATAGCCAGAACAGCTGACCCAAACTGGCCAAAGGGATATTACATACCATATGACATCACGCTCAGTATATAAACTGGGAGGAGTTAGCCAGGAGGCTGTGACTGCTGCTCGGGACTCGCTGGGCATCAGCTGGCAGGTGGTAAGCAACTGCACTGTGCATCACTAATTTTTGTATATTCTATTATTATTATAATTTCTTTCTTTGCTGTCCTATTAAACTGCCTTTATCTCAACCCAAGAGTTTTCTCGCTTTTGTTCTTCCAATTTTCCTCCCCATCCCACTGGGGGAGAGGGTAAGTGAGCGAGTGGCTGTGTGGTGCTCGCTTGCTGTCTGGGGTTAAACCACGACAGGTCTTTAGAGAACACCACAATAAAGTATTTACATTATTAAATAATGAAAGCCATTCCACAAGTGGGAATTGTTATTCAGAACAGCTTTAGGACAGAAATTGCCTGCATGTTACTCAGCTAAGGATTAATGCAAAGTATACACATCACATATTCTCTAAGGTGGGGGAACAAGCAGACTCATAGTGAAAGCTAATGGGCGATAACATGCCTTCTCAAATACTCAGATAAAGTCAAGCAAGAGTTTTCACTGCTGAAGACCCTGCCAAACAATAAAGGTAAGAAAACGAAGGGTAGAAAGCAAGAAAGAGAAGTTATTTTAACTAATAAGAGTAACCACTGTAAATAACTATGTTTCTTCTGAGGGCAGTACCAGCCTATCGAGCTTGGGCACTGGTCCCAAGTTCTCAGTCCTCGGACACACCTCAAAATGCACCATTGCAACTGTTTGTTCAACGAGGTTATAAAAATAAGCCTGATTCTCTCCCTGAGCTCCACTCAGATCATACACCCAAGGGAACATTAGAGGAGTAGAGCAAGTAAAGTTTGTTTAATTTAATACTATTTCTAAGAAGAGCATACATCAAACCTCTCTCTCTAGTTAGAACCACAGGCACGTTCCACTCCAATATATCTAGAAGGAAGCCTGCCTCTTAATCCAGTGATTAGTAGAGATGCAGTTAGAAAGTTCTTGGAAACATTCTGTGTGCTTGTTTGGCAGTATTTAGTATCAAGCCACTACAGAAAAAAAGAAATCTTGTCAAACAACCAAAAAAGCCAAGGGCATAACATTTTTTCCATAACATCTATTCTACACCCAAAATTACTTAACTAAATGCAATATTTTATTAAAATCAATTATTAAAACTAATTTAGCAGTCGATTACTATCGATATTGATAATAAACTGAAAATTAAATCACTACAGGCCAAATTTAAACAGATATTTTAGAAAACAGCTTATCATTAGCTTTAATAGTAAGATTTAAAATAAGTTAAACTAGTTAACCAAGAAGGTACTGCACGTTTCTGTAGCTTACCTCATCTGTCATTCTGCTCTGATGAGCGTGAAGAGATACTTCAATAACCTCACATCATCTTCTCGGTCCAAATCATCAAGTGGCAGTTTCTGTCTTATAGGAGCATCTGGATCCTGCAAAGAAAAAAAGACACCATCCATCCATCCAATGCCTGTATGTCTCTTATGATGATTTCTTGCACTGTTTTATAATTTGGAGTCACTTTTTCATGTTGGCACAACAATCTGTCCAATCCATATAATATCCAGCATGATACTTCCCTGTCTTTCCTCTCTCGTTTCTTTTACTCCTCTTCTATCACTGTTCCTATCAGAAGGAGCCATTGCAATTTCCTTATCTACTCCACCACCTTGTTTTTTTCCCTAAACTTTTCATCTTCCAGCTCTTCTCACCTTAAAACATCCTTTGCCCTTCTGCCTCTCTATCTACTAGTTCTCCTCCTCCACCTTCTGAGAAGGTTTTTCACAACAGCTGTACTTGCTTCTGTTTAATCCAAACCGATTTTCTCAAGCCAATCAATACCTCAGATCACTCCCCAATTGAATTAATCTTCTATGACTGCTTTGCTGTCACTGAGACAGTTCATTACCTCCTTCTATTATACAGTTCTTTCTTTTCTTGACTTCCCTCCTATTAGCTTTTACTGTAGTAGCTCCCAAGGAATCCCATCAGGACTTGATTTCATTGTACTAGTTACTATATAAAGACAGCATGCCCTTATCTCCAAGGGCTTCCGAACACTTTTATAAGCTTTTTTGGTTAGGAACATGAGTTTGTTTCGGACATAAAAGGTACTGATAAAGCCATTTACTTCACCAAATAGGTATTTGTGATGGGGGGTGGAGGTAGGGAAGTGTCTGCTGAAAGAAAACAGAAGTCCACATATCCCAAAAGGAACTCCAAAGGTGACCTGCCTCACAATTTCTGTACTAGTTTTCATCTTTTCCAACTTAAATGTTTTGAATTTTTAGATAGTACAACTACTTTTGCATAGCACATCTAAAAATTGCTGGAAAGTTGTGAAAATAGCATATATGCTCTCTCTAACCCATTTTGAAACCAAACCTTATCTAAAAATAATACTTACCAACTCTGTTACCAGAGGTCGAGAACTTCCAATGTACGTACTTAACTGTCGCTGCTTCAGGATATGTAGTGTGTTCTCCCTAAAAGCAGCGAAATGTTTTTGAGAAAAATGTCTCTTTTCAGCAAGCATCTTTTAATACGACACAAATACTGGAAGATATTTTTTTAAACATGGAATATGGTTACAGAAGAGACACACTTGGTTTGGTTGGTTTATCAGTGGACTGTGTTATGGTTCTGAAAATGCAACACTTCACAAGAAGTACAATATTAGAATTGATTCACATTTCTTTTATTTATTTCAAAAGCATCCATTATTTAAATTATTCATGTATTTAAATATGAGTTTATTTCTGCATGAGCAAAATGTCCCATTAGCATTCACTGTAAAGTCAGTTTAGGACAGAAATTCAATTTAGGATGGACATGATTCCAAAAGCCTGTATTCGCTGGCCATTAAAAACAGGCTTATTCTAGGCATTTAGCATTGGAGGTAGACTTTGGTCTTTTCAGTCGTAAAATCCATCATCACTGATAATAAAGATGACAATAATAGCTTCTGGTGAAGGGTGAATGACACAAACTGATGATAAGAACTTAAACAGGCAAAAACTAAAGCCAAAGAAGCAACCACCTGAATAACAGATAATAAAAATGTTTTTATCCAGGCTCATCAGCAGGCCACCATCTCTTATTATGCCTTATTATGAAAAATCAAATCTGCATCCAGGTTGAGATTAAATTAAGTTGCTTTGATGGTTTTCCTTCCATCCTTGCCTCCCAAAAGCAGTAACTGACATTTGAGAAGATACATGTCAGAAGATGGGTATGAAATATCAATTTTTATATCTAAAAATTCAAAGAAAAGAAGTGAACGAACTGAACAACTTTTAAAAATCCACTCCTTTTTAAGAATGATTCTGTGTCTCTGCCTCTAAAACTTACACTTGATGGGAGCATTTGAACAATCAAAGTAAGTCTCAACTCACCAATATACAGATTTTGCATAAAACTCAATATTATCGGAGAAGTCCCCAATTTCATCCTTGGCAATGCTCTCTAGCCAATCTACCACCAGCTGGAATACAATTAAATTGCATTTTTTAAACAAACATGTAACAAATAGTATTTTAACTGCCTTCCTCTCGTCTCTGGATCTACTCATTATCTACATGATAACCAAAGGAGTACACATACTGAAGACTATTCCGCTTCCTTTTTAAGTATCCAATATGAAGGTTGTTTAGGCACTTGATCTCTATTTCTCACTAGATGCTGCAGTTATTACAGTGCTACTTAATAGTTTATTAATCACCATCAACACTAACAGATGTTCCAAATGGGAATAGCTCCCAGCTTCCATCCTCTCCAAGTTAGCCTGAAAAACATTTCTGATCTTTAGAAACTAAAGAAAATTATTTTTACAGATACAAAGAACAGCACACTTCAGTGAATATTAAAAAAAAAGTATTAGAAACAGCTTCATAAAGTGCACAAACATTTAAGTGTCTACTGATCTATTTCCGTTCTCATCTTAAAAAAAACTTTCCGTCATACCTGGCTTTGACGAACAAGTGAATCTTTCTGAAACAAGTTGTCTACATTTGTCTTTTCACTAGCAGTTAAAACCTATTTAAGAAAAAGTTGTTTATTACTTCATGGAAAATAAAACTTGCCACAAAATCACAAATACCAAACTGAACACATACTACCCTATTTTTAAAAATGGATTACACTATACATTTGGTTTTATTTGGATGATCTTTTACATCCAGCTACACTAAAAACTGTAAAAGTGAGATTCAGAATTCACAAATGTATGACCACAGAAAGAATCTGCATACTAGATCCACTGATTCCACAGATTGCATTCGTATTGTCCTAAATCCCATTTACTACTGTATACATAAAAAAGATGACATTTTCCAAGACCATATGCACCCTTAAACAAGTGGGAAAAAAACCCCAAAACCAAAAAATCCAACCCCAGAACCCTGATCCTTCTCTCTGCCTTTCTGCATGACTTTAGTTTTCATTGGACTTGCAACAAAAAGAGAACAGAAGATGCACTGTCCTAAAAACACAAGTAGAAGGAGATTGTTTTTTGGCACAACAGCGCTTAATTTAATAGTGACAACTTAGCAGTGGGAATCCTAGAGGAAGCCATTTTATGACTGAGAAAAAAGCAACAGCAATCACAAATTTTACAAAGGCAGAGTTACTTCAGTTATTGTTTTGTCTTCCTAAGCATATTCTGGCAGCAAAGGCTGGAAGCACTGTATTGACATAGACAAGAAGACTACAGCTGAAACAAGAATTCTAAAAAATTTGGATTTCTCTTGAGATAAATTGGAAACAGGATTGCAAAGGCTAGACAGCTTGAGACCACATGTACTTCTTTTAGGCAAAGCAAAATTATCTCTGACGTGTGGGAACATTACTCCTACTGAAGCAACTTTTAAAAAGGTCTAAATAGTTACTTCTAGTGGATTTTTCCAAGTGTAGGTGGAATACTTAAGGAAATAAACCATAAAGTGTAGTTTATAATATTTTTCACTAGCATTTTATCTTTAGAACTGAATATTTAAATTCACTTTTCACCACGTATTAAATAATTTAATACTTGTCTTGATAAAAATCAAATCAGTCTCATTTTGTTTACATTCTTTCACCTTTGAATTTTGAGTAGCTGCAATATTGAGATTGTAAAAATAAAATACAAACATTTAGCTTATATTCAGCTTATTTAGCTTATTATATCACTTTAAAAAAACCTCAGAAGTCCAGGCTTACTGGGATATCAAATGCCGTTTCATCCTCCAGTGCAGACTGTATTCTGTCTCTAGAAATAAAAGGGCAAAACATCAATGATTAAAATAAAGCTGAGAACATTCATCAGAATGCATAATAAGTGAAAGCACTTAAAAATACCTTTACAAAAATGTTCTTTAAAAAAAATACTACAAGTTGCAAAGGTAATAAGAATAGGCTTGTTTACAACTTTTATTTCTGTAAATAAATAGACATATTATATCAGCACCTAGTTCCATAAACAGATTATCAACAGGTACTTAATTGCTTCACTTCATATCTATAAACTCATAAAAAAACATATCCAGGAAAGTCAGCTCAGTGCAAAAACATAACATGCTTTTCAAAGGAATTACCTATAAAGCGAGGACAACAGTCTCCAAGTTACCATCTCCTGCTTGAGAAGCCACAAGACACTGGCAGTTTTTGAAAACTTTTGCTGTCCAGGAGTCGCCCGATAAACTATTTTTCCTAGTATATTCACCTGAAGTAAGTACATTTATACATACTTAATATTGCCCATCATTGTATTTTTTTTTAAGACATTGCAGCAATCTTTTAATTATCCTGAACACTTTCAACAACTAAGTTTGATTACCATCTCTTCAAAATGTGTAAATGATACTACACACCATAAATTCCCTTAATTATTAATAAAAATAATATTAACACAGCCTAAAGGCCATAAACCAAGAGTGCAACTTTGTTTTGCAAGGCACTGTACAAACCCAGGACAAAACCAGCTTGTGTTGCTCCATTAAAAAGTAACAAAAGACTGGGAGGGAGAGAAGGCAACCACTGAAAAAAAAGAAAACAACAAACCAAAACCCAAAGCATCAAACCCCTCAAATTTTTTCCATCTACATCAATATAAAACATGAAGTCAGCCCTATTAGTATTTGTGACAGCATTTATGCATTTACCAGTACCAGAAAGATACCCTTTCCTTTCTAGCGCAGTTAAATGAGGAAACCCAAACGGCTGGTTACCACGTAATTTCCAGTATCACCAAAAAGAAATTATATTATCTTTTCCTTTATTTATTATGAAGAAAACCGAGACAACAAACTCTTTTCCATCAGTAGCTAATTCCAGAGCTCCTGCTACTTTTGAGAACAGCCCCAAACTCTCACATTTTAAGAGTACCCAATTTCTTAGGCATCAATATAATCATGAGCTTTCAAAGTGGGAGGTGAACAGCAGGTTTGGAGAAAAGAACGAGGTGTACCATCATGATGCAAGAGAGGAGCATGATCTTCTCCCTTCTACTACCTCACTGAAAATATGAAAAGAGTTCATGTTTGCTAAGAGCCACAAGGCTGATCTCAGGGTATGGCTGAGAGGCAGCATGAGAGCTCAGGGCTGTCCCTCCACCTTCATCCTAAGCCCTCTCAGCAACATCCAAGACAATCCTTGGAGGAGCATCCTTCACTCTACTTTCATAAGTCCTCGGTAACGTATAGTCAACCCCCTCCAATTCCACATGGCTTAAAACAACCACTCGATATTTCATGATCTTGTAGATGGTATACATTATTCTCAAACAGGAGGAATGGAGGAGACTTTGTTTTCCATTTCGGCTCAGAAGTTCCACTATCTCACAAAATAATCAAGTTCACATTTATTTTCCTTCTCTTGTCAGCTTCCCACTTGGGAACACAATCGTGGTACACACCTCATTAAAGACCTCAGCATTTTCCAACTCAGCCCCAAAAACAAATTTACACAGAACGGGAGCAACCTTCTACCAAGAACGCATTTTCTTAACATAGACACAAGTATGAAGCCTCTCAAAAAAATTATCTGCCCACCTTGCTCTTTTTTGATCAACACTTATTGACAGAAACATCATAATTTCTTCCTTTCAAACTGTCCATCCCTGCAGATCCCAAACTGTCAGTCAACGGCCAGTCAAAAAACTAGGCCTAAAAGCAGATGCCTTAAATCCAATGTTTGAGCCCTCTACTGTCAGCTTGTCAGTAAGTTAGTAGAAAACTCTTAAAGCATCATAAGACAATGATTGATTTATTTATTCCCAAGAGAAATAAGTACTTTTTAATCCAGCTTATTATCGTTAACAAAAAATCTATACGTCTGCTCATGTTTATTGTCACTCGATACTTGGAGTGGAATGGCAGCCAGATGACATTTTTCAGCAAGCTACACAATATGCGTTCCTGTGCCAAAGTAGTGTATGAGGAAAGAGAGAGGCTATTCAGTACTAGTGTTCAGGGACTCATAAGACTGCAACCAGCTGGAAGATTTAAATTATCTCTTAAGCACTTGACCTTTCAGCTTAAAGAAAAAAAGCAATACTACTTAAAGAAGGGACTATAAAATAAAGCAAATAAAAAACCAAGCAAACTACTTACCTGACTGTTACAAATACTTTCATACTCATCCACAAGATCAAAAATGGTAGTTGATGTATGCTTCAGGAAGGAATGCAGAAAATCCGAGTACATGCTCATAGTAGCTAGAACAGATTTACGCAGAAACAGCCATATTAGCCAGACACAGCTTGATAAAAAAACCTCAACAAGCTACAAAAAAATCCTTCTGATGACAAGGCATTTTGTCTTTCGTAAATCCAAATGAGGACAACAATGATATGAACTATTTATATCCCATAAAGTCAGAAGAACTTATCAGCTAAGATATTAAGATACACAGAAGCTACAACGTAAGTCAAATAATTAAAAACTTTTCTTGTAAACATGTAATCTGAGAAAGTTTTAACAACAAACTGATTTGTGTATCTCCACAAAACTAATCCACTTTGCATCTTACATCACCAGAGCATCCCATTTGTGCTATCAGGTTCCACAGAAGACACAAACTCTCAAAACTCCAATAACTGGAAGATATTAACTTTCTGAATTTTTTAAACTGGACAGTTTTTGACAAAGAAATTTTTCAGCAAAATAATACAGAAAAAAGAACATATGTATATATATCCCACAAATAAAAAATGTAGTCAATTATTATGAAAACTTCAGATTGTCTCACCAGCTTCCCCAGGATCATCCTCACGCAACAGTACAGTGCTCATAGTGACATCTTCTGTCATACTGGACATGTCTAGATTTACAAACATTCCTGTCTGCTGAGGCGAGAGTGCCATTGTCCAGTTACTTTCATCCAACTAAAATCATAACAAGAACGTAAGGAAAATAAATAACAATCTCAGACTATTATAAGCCTAGCTCCAAGTTTTTTCATTCTATATGAAGTGTATAAACAGAACATTTCTAAAAATTAATGGTGAAATAACTGCCATTAGATAAGGTGCAGCAATGTCTGTAACAAACAGCTCTGAAAAGATAAATTTTAACCTGGAAAAAGGAAATTCTAAATGTTTTTTTCAGGAAATAACTAAAATAGAACCTAATCTATTAAGACCTTTACTTTAGAACACCATGTATCACTTTTCATCTTAAAACAAATCACTCTAAACTGCCATATTCTATTACGATAAATGTTTACTTAGTATTCTGCTGTTCAAAGTCAAAAGAGACAGAATACCATTGACAAGGTTGTAAAACAGCCGCAAAAAGTTAAGCAGAATAGTTAAAATTTGAATCAGAACCATTTACCAGTCTTTCAGCCTTCTTGGTACATTGCTCAAAACCATTTGATCGAATGAAGCAACACATATTTAAAATAATAGCAAGTATCAGAATATTAAAGGGGGAAATAAAGACATAACTATGCTTTTTTGAGGGTATTTCAGGGGAGGTATTTGATAACGTACTGGACATCAGAGCAGCAAAATAGCCAAAACAGAAGATAGAGTGTACATATACTGCACTGACAGTTCAGATGCCTGTAGTTGTTTCCATGACAGCAATTGCTTTCTCATCAGCAATTAACACTATACAAAGACTAGAGATGTGCCACTCTGATTCTTTTTTCAGACTCTTAAAATGGTCCCACCCAAACAAGTATGAACAGGGAACCAGATGACATTCCTGTAGCAGTCTCCTAAGCATATCAAAAAACAGTGGACATATACTTGTTACTCTTCCTTTTATGCCCCAGTTTCTACCCACACTATTCCTCTTGCCTGATCTCTCTCTGCCATTATTGCCCTCTAGCCAACGAGAACAGAATGCTGTAGCACTCCGATGGCAGCATAAAAACAAAGTCAGTTCCAGTAGAATTTTATCAGGTCTCTGTAGGAAATATAAAAAGGGCTGATGAGTGTTCTTATCTACCAGCAAGTGCATTTCCACAAAACAAAATTTTAAGTCCTTTTTCCATCACCCTCCTGTGAAAGTCTTTTTCTAGTCCCTAGTTTCCTCCTGCTAATCTAAACTGGATTCAAGTCATAGCACTAAATCTAACTTAAAACGTACTCCACTCACACAGCACTAGTTACAGAATGACAAGAGGCTCTGAATCAGAGGCAAAGTGCCACTGCTAAGAGCTGTATACACATGGTGATCAACTAGGCCCCAGAACCTGATAATTTTAAGAAACAAATGGTCTGTAACAAATTACAGAAACAACCAGAAGGGAGAATGAATTAAAATGCACATACAGAAAGACATCTTAACTTGTTTTGAGTTAATTTAGAAATAAACTGAGATAAAATACTTAAGACGTTCCTACTGATAACTCTTCTACATCAGTGTTTTTCCAAAGACATTACAGTAGAAGATAATCAACATTATCTGATAAGTCATAAGAACAGTCGCGAGATCAGCTGCTTTGGAGCTGACCCAGCTCCGACAGACCGACAGACCGCAAGGCACAGGGGGGGTTTTCGGGAGATTCCTTCGCTAGGAAAACCCCGAGACAGCAGTGGCACTGGAGTTGCCGGGGCAAACACGACCACACCCCCCTCCCAGTCCTTGAATTCTTACCAGGAGGGCAGAGAGCTAGCTCTCCACCCACAGAGAGCAACACCCTACAGCTGCGGAGGAGGCGGCTCCTGTAGTGGGACACTGAAGTTCTGCTGGGTCCCGAAGCCTCATAAGACAGCTGTAGGAGCAGAGCGAGCAGGCAGG